GATCATGACCTGAGCCGAAGGCAGTCGCTTAACTAACTGAGCCACCCAGGCGCCCCTGCACCAGCTTTCTTAGCAGCCAGTGGCTGGCTGGAAGGGACCTTAAAGGTCTTCTAGCACAGTCCTCATGTAATGAGCGAGTTGGTTTCAGGTCTGTTTGCACGACTCTGGTGGGGAGGAGCTCAGTATCCTAAGGCAATTCTGGTGGCCTGGACTCCTCCGGGTAGGGGCCCTCCACACCCCAGTTAGCTGTGCATTATCTGTAGGGCTTTAAGATTTTACACTTCGAAAGTAGCAAATAAGCCTCACATACACGTATTTATTTAGATAATTTAGTAGGAATCAATCGCCCCGCCCCCCAGAATATCAGTTTAAGGAGGGTACCAAATTATTAGTCTTCTGGGGCATCTGCCTGTTTCTTGGGCCTGGAGAGGTAAGCAGAAGCCAGAGGATGAAGCACTTGCATGCAACTGAGCTTTAGTTCTATAGCCTGGAGGCGCCACTGAAGGATTTTGAGCCGGGCAGAAGCATGATCACATCTGCATTTTAGGAAACAAAAATTTTGAGAGCAGTTTGGAGATTATATGGGGGGAAATTCATGGGACCGCCTGTGGTGAGGGAAGGACACAGGTAGAAGTTTGCTGTAATGACTGAAAGACTAGACAGCAAGGGGCTGAGCTCAGTCAGGGGGACGGGATGGGGATGCTGGTGAAGATGATGAGCAGGGGATGTCGGAGTGGGCAGTCCAGATGGTCTCCACACTGTGGACTTAGCCTGGTGGTGGCCTCACCATATGAGATTCTCCCAAAGGAACTTCTGAGTTACGAGATACCAGAGACACACTGTTGTCACAAAACTTGGGAAAGATCTTGCCATTGCCTTAAGTCTCCCATGTGGGCTAATTGCTTTTGACACCTGAATCTTTCCTTTTTTTTTTTTTTTAAGATTTATTTATTTGAGAGAGAAAGAGAGAGAGAGAGCACGAGCGTGAGGGGCAGAGGGAGAAAATCTTAAGCAGACTCCTTGCTGAGCACAGAGCCCGACTCGGGGCTTGATCTCACAACCCTAAGATCACGACCTGAGCTGAAATCAAGAGTCAGATGCTTAAACGACTGTACCACCCAGGTGCCTCCAGACTTTAATCTTTCTGCTGCACCGTTTTTGGTTTTGTTTTTGTCGGGACTATCAGAGCAAGTGGTCAGCTACAGGGATTCTCTCAGAACGCGATTATTTTCTCGCAAGTTCTGACTAGAAAATACCACCTCTCACCACACACAGAAAACATGGGAACCTCAGATGTCTGTGAGCAGGAAAGGGGCCTTCGGGGAGGAGCGCTCAGAACCACTTCCCAGGGGAGCATCTCAGGCAAGCAAGGCTCCCAGGCTGGGCCTGCCTATGGGTCTTCTGGGAGAAGAGAGGTCCAGCGAGGAATGCCTGACTTTTCTACCCTCCCCACTTCCAGGTCTAAAACCCGGGGATGTCAGAAACAGCCCGAGGTATTGGGAGCAAGTCCACAACAAGTAGACCTGTTCTTGTCTTCCTAGGGGAAAATGCCCAGGCGCATTGAGATCTGTAACATGGTACAGTGTTAGCAGGAAAGAAATGGTGAGGTGATATGGCTGGCCAGCAGGGAAGGGCTGGGAAGAGTTCCCACCCTCCGTCCCCTGCCCTGCTTTCACCCTGGAGTGCCAGAGCCATGTGAGGAGGACCCAGAAGTTCCTTTCCCCCCAGGTTGGGGTGAAGCACAGGACTCAGGGGTGGCTGCAGAGCTTACTATGGGACTGCTGTGGTGAGGAGTGAAATGACCCTGTGGCAGAAATACCCTGAAAACCAACCATAGGGAATCCTAACCCACTCCCTGGAAGACCCCCCAGCCCGGCGTGGGGGAGGAGGGAGGCATAATGAGGAGCCACAGTAGGGCTGAGGAGTAGGTCAAGTTCCTCCTGAGCAAACATCATGTCACCGTAAGAGAACCAAAACTGAGAGCTACAGTTGGACCCAGTTCTGAGTGTGGTTGGAGGAGGGATCTCCGCTCACGGCCCCAAGAGCCAAGTGCAGATGCTCGGGACCGCATGCTTCTGCAAAGTATGTCTGTCTTGCTTGTTGGGTATGCCTTTCTTGTGCTGGGAAAGGCTCCTGGTGCTCCTGCTAACTAGGACGCAATTGTGGGGCCTTCCGGAGCAGGAGTACTCTACTGAAGAATATTAGCGGGTCTAAAGTGTTAGAAATCTTGTCTGTTTAATGTAGTGAGTGGAAAGCAAATACACAGGCGACTCAGCGGGGACCCAGACGACCTCAGAGAAGAACTTTCCCTTGACATCCAGAAGGGCCACTTCTGGGTGATGAGAGTCCAAGAAAATCATCTTCTGGTCTTCTTTACCCTTTCCCATATAAAGACAAGGCCTCTGCTTGGCTGTGTGACAACAAGTAGTTTCCATCCATGAGGCGCTCTGCAAAGCCTGACTATTGCCCATACACTGAGGGAAAGGACAGCTTATCAAGAAAGACATGCCCTGGGAGACTTCATTAGCTTGGGTTAATTCTGCTGAGGTAACAAATCATCCCCAAACCTCAGTGGCTTCTAATGATGATGTTTTATGTTTCACTCAAATTATGTGTCCTTCACAAGCTGGAGACCCAGGCAGACGGAGACACCTCTTCCCGGAACATGGTAGGTCTCATGGCGGAAGCGACCTGGCAGGCATGGCTATCTTGTCAAGCTTTAGTTTACAGGCTGCACAGGTCACTTCTCCCCATTTTTCACTGGACACAGCAGGACATTTGGCCGCTCCTGAGTTCAACATGGTGAGATACATAATCCTCTGACAGGAAGGAATTACCACATGCCAAAGCTTGACATCGGTGAGCAGGAGGTATGATCCTGCCATAAGAAGGGGTAGAGATTTTGAACCATGATATGGTCTAGTCTTCCCACCGCCCCAGAGCTGGTTATTAACCCTGTGCTTCAGTGTCCCTCCCACAGCTCTGGTGCAGGCAGGGCCTGGAGCTTCCCTCGGTATCTGGATTGGTAAGGGAGAGGTCCTGATCCCACCTGAGTGTGATGACAGGGGCGACAGAATGGGAGAATACTGATGTCATTTCCTACACAAGGTCTTAGGTCCCCCAACAGCCCCATGGCAGCCTGGGAACCTCTCCACCTACTGGTGGCTCTCTCAGTGAGCAAATGATTTCTGGGTCCCAAACAGTGAGGGCCAGGACACAGGCTATGGAGCCCACAGATGCGGCAAGAAGCTATGAGGCACGAATAGTATCTTGAACATAATCTTATATTTGGAAAAGCAATTTTTAAAAAACACTTGAAAATACAAGATAAGGTAACAGTGACTTATATAAGTTTTCACCCTATATTGCTTGGCCATTTTTTACATATAAATTATTGCTTACTAGCTTCGATAAATACACAGCACAGTCATATATACAGAAGCAGAAAGCACAACATAAGGAGAAAGAAAATACTGTTAATGGCAATTCTGGTAATTCCACAAGTGTTTCATATTTACCAGCTCTTATAATGGTGGAAAACTACAAAGTGTAGTCCCTGAGAAGTTAGGTAGACACCCTGACCGCGGGGTTTCTGTCTTCTAATTGTTAACGCAAGCTGACAATGTCACATCAGTCCTAATTAATGGTACATTAAAAGGCGAGAGTCCTTGCTTCAGGGCATCCATTTCATCCCAGTATTTAATAACCGTGTAATACGAATACAATAAATAGGCTATGCAAATAAATATTACTCTGCTAAAAAACGTGTAGTATACACAGCTTTGCTTTACACAGTAGTACAATTTCATCTAACTTTTTGGCAATTTTTAAAAACTTTTCTTTCCCCTACTAGTTTTAAGCACGGTGGCCCACTCATTAATATGCAGGCTGAAATTTTAAGGACATGTCTTTGAAGCATTTAAAAGAAACTCTATATTAGACAACTGCAGTGGACCTGATCTTCCTCCATTTTAATGTTTCTGCCTAGTTTCTGAGAAGCTCGGATTAGCTATGCCACCCGAGAACGCGAGCTCTGGGATCTGTGCTGTGTGCGATGGCCGTAACAAGACATTGGGGCTGGGACTGGGGCCGTGGTGAAGCCCAGCTCCAGGGACCAGAAATCACCAACTCCCTCTTTCATGCAACTGTCTCTCTCTATTCAGAGGCTAGTCTACATGGCACAACGCCTTCTGCTTACCAACAGGGAGGTCTGGCTTTTTGCTTTATTCCTCATCCTTGTGAATTCAATGTATGCTCCACGCAACTTGCTTGTGGACAGGGGTCTAGGAAAATGCATTTATTCAAACATCATTAATGATACTAACATAAAGTGAATGCAGGTCATAATATTTAGCACTATAACCAGTTGGTAATTGTACAGATTATAACAAAAGTGAATTTAAAACACTGTAGCCTTTGGAACATCTGCAAATACGTATGGAGAAAAGTTTCAGAAAGGCTGCAGTTTTGCCCGCAGGACCCTGTCCTGTGCTAACTTCTAAGCAGGGCTGCTTTGCTGGAACGCGGACAAATCCACAGGCCTGCAGGACTGTCTGGAGGTTGCGCTGCAGCAGCAAGAACCCACGGAGAAGTGCTCACGCGCCACTTGCTGAGGAAGGCGGCAGGTGACAGGAGGTTTTCAGAGTGAATGGAGATCTTAGGCAACCACACAAATTTAAGACCTGGGAAGGAGCTTGTACATCTTTGTCTGCCCTTCTAGCCAGAACAGAACCTATTCCCAAGAGATGTGGGCAAGTATTTGGAAAGCGAATACAGCCCATCCCTCTTCACAGGCGGCCTCGCTGTGGGACAGTCCGGCTTTGTGAGGGCAAGTTTCATGCTGAGCCAAATCAGGCTCCCACGGTTCTGCCTTTGATTCTTGAGTTCCAGATTTAAGTCTTCACGGGCTTCGGAAACTGCTGAGCTGCTGATGCTTGGGAAATCTCTGGAGACAGTTGTTAAATTTCAGAAAGACTTGGAAATTCTGACATTCAGAAGACAGGGATGAAAAAGCAAATGTAAACTACACAAAACCCTCCCTTCCCGCTGCTGCCCTGAGAGTCACGTGACCATGGCTGGAGCGAAGTGCTGGCAAGCATCACGTTCTCCCCGGCCTGGGTCTACCCACACCGGGTGGAATACTGACCACACCATCGGAAGGTGTTAAATGCGATGTATGTGTGGATTCATCTGGCTGTGTACGTATCTGAACTGGGATCTAAGCAGCAGGTGCTATGCTGAAATCATTCCCCACTGAAAATGAGTCCTCAAGAGGTAATGTTCTGGTGGGAGCAATGGAGACCTAATGTGAACAGATCTAATGGTAAAATGTGGAGACAAGGTCAAAATGGCCTGACATGATCACACTGGCCAAATGATCCTCCCTAGAGCAGAGAAAAGGTGAGAACACAGGCCTTTGTGCTGTAAGCCCAGGCTATCCCCAACAATTGCCAAGGGGAGAGCTTTCGCCTTGATCAGCCGTGAGAGGAGCCGGTTTTCCCCGGTTCCGCCAGCTCTCATCTTCTCCAGGGTCTCAGTCCATTACCCGGTAGCCTGAGCTTGTCTTTGAGTGGCCCAGCCCTGGATGGTGCCTTTCTCTTATAGCCCTGTTAGTTTTCAGGACTCAAGTTTCAACTGTGGGGACAGATGGAGTCTTTTTGAAAGTCGTCCCCCAAATTTTCTCCACGTGGTTCCTTCCCGTGATCTCGCAAACTCAGTATGGTTCCTAAGCCCAGGAAACAGCGCCGCTGAGAGGGTATCAGCAAGCGTCGGGCACAGCTCTGTCATAAGGTGTGGATGGGACAGCAGGAAGCAGTTCTGTGCGGGCACCTGAGGGATGAGCAGGCAGGAGCGTGAAGAATTCACACGCATGGAAAATGAAGGCTGAGGACATGAAGCAGGGCCCTTATATTTTAGCAACGTGACGAGCACCTAGCCCGCAGCGGTGGATTTCACTCTTGTATCCCACAGGCTTTTGTTGTTCACGGGAAGCTCGAGGGAAATACTCTAACCAGTTCTTCAGAATAACAAGGGGTTTTATTTGCTAGAGGAGCCAAAATAGGAATAAAAATAGACTAAAAGACTCTGAGACTTTGGGCAGGGGGAAAAAAGACAAATTATAGAAAGGCTCCGGCCGTCGGTTGGGAGGCGGACTGCAGGACTTCTAAGTGTCCAACATCAATCAGACATTTGGGTATTTGGGGGTTCTTATTTGCTGTAAGATGGGCGGTCACTAGTCACTACCTTGCTCTTATCTCGTGAGGGCTAAGTGCGTGCCACATCAATCCCACTTAGCCTCCCTGTGGTGGTTGTTACTGAGCAGCCTGCTGGAGGCCAGCAAAACACCAGGGCCTCATCAGGCACAAGAAGGCAGACCTCTGGGACTCCGGTACCCCTCGAAATCGTTACTGAGTGCCTACCCTCTATCATACACTGTGCTTTTTAAAAAATCACATTGTTCCCAATAAGAAATGCGAATCTTCTTGCATATGTGAAGAAAATCCCCCAAAATTAAACAGTGAGCCCATTTCTTGCAGATGACTACTATTTTTCCTTATTGGCAAAGCGACGCAGCCTAGAGCTGCAGATCAGTTGTGCAGAAACGCATTTCCCCCGCAAGCCTACATCGACAAGTGATTGTGGATGCAAAGAAATGCATGCCTTGACATCTCCCTTCTGGAAATCAGAGCACAGAGGCCAGCTGCTGGTCCGCACTAACTTCCTAGACATGAGGGGCTTTTGGTGATGTCACTGTTTGTACTGACAGCAGCCACTCCTTTTCCCTGGAAATCTTGAGATGCCATCACTGTCTTTAGGTGTTCAAATGAGCTGCTTCTCTGACAGCCTATACACAGTAATCTACCACCAGGCAAAGTAAAACTCCCGGCTCATGCACACTCGTGCTGATGCATTTGGTCACTAGGACAAGACATGCTCTTGTCTTGACACTGGCACATCTCAAGATCAAAATTGGGTTGGATCAAAAAGGCAGTCAGAAGAAACCAGACTTCTCCATTTCAAGAATGCTTCTGACTCTTTCTGCCTTCTTGTTCTGAGAGCAGCTCGGAGAGGCCTCTCCCCATCTCTGGCGGCTGACATCACTTCCTGAACATGCTTTGCTTGGCTTTCCTGTGTGCATCTTATGCTGATAAAACTCAGCAACTTCTTTTCTCACAGGAAAGCAACGTGCTCAGCACTCACGTGCCCACAGCTCAAAGCGCTGCAGTTATGGGGAAGGTGCGGGGGGGCCCTCACACCCGCGGCTCAATCCTGTGGGACAGCTCAAACAGGGCCTGCTGGCTGTCAATGACATACAGGTGATTTACATAGGATTTCAACTCTTGGTGCTCCTTTGGAGACACGTCGCCTCCTGTTTTTTTGGAGGAAAGAAAAAAAGACAAGTCAATCTCATGAGAGCAGAAACGCTATGTCTAAATACCAGTAAAGTCTCACGTTGAGGCTTCGAGTACATCTACCAGGTAGATGCCTAAAGTCAGCATGCTGGAAGGGAGGTCTGTATCCTCACGGTGGAGATGCTTCTCCAGCTCAGACTTGGTCCTCAGGTCAGGTAATTAGACTGGCAAGCTATTTGCTTTACTAACATTCATAGAGCACTTATCACCTAACGCTATCTAGTATTCAGTGATTGCCTTAGTGAACCCCGTCCAGAATGGGAAGCTGCAGAGACACACAGCCAGGAGGGAGCAGAGCATGACCGGCGCCCAGGCCACGTGGCTCCCGAGTCTGCGTCCACAGTCCCACGACACAGCAACTGCCTGCCTCAATGGCTTTCCCTGGCTCTTCTAGCTCAGTCTGGAATCGTCAGAAATCACTGCCCATCTGCTCAGCGCATGGACACCAGAGTTTGTGTTTAGATGCCGTGTAATTCTTTGGCGTCTCTACTTTTGGAAAAAAAAAAAAAAAAAGAAGGAACTATTTGAATGAACAGGTATCACAGAACTGAACTTAAGGTATGCTTAACAGGCAAAGCAACTTCCAGAAGTATGTGGATGGGCTAATGTCTACCCAGAAAAAAAAAAAAAAAAAAAAAAATGTCTACCCAGCAAAGGACAAGGCAAGGGGGTTTTCCACTCCCAAAGCCAGGGCCGTTAAGCACCTGAAGGGCCGCAAGTAGCTTTCGTGCCCTCTGAGCACGTACGTCCATGCCACGCGGTGACAGCTCTGATAAGGAGCCTGAGATAAAGCCGCCTGCACAATGGGGCAAGGCCACTTCCCAGAGCCAAACCCAAACCCAATCCAAAAAAACTCCCCCCAAACCTCAAGGCACCGGGGGCCTGACTAAACTGCTATAGAGAAACAATGTCCCTGCGAGACAGATGGTGACGTCACCTCCCC